CGTCAGGTACTAACTACTAACTGCGTACAGGTACTAACTACTGCGCTACAGGTACTACTACTACTACTTACAGGTACTATTACTGCGTAAGGTACTAACTACTTCGCGTACAGGTACATACTGCGTACAGGTACTACTACTGCGTACAGGCATTAAACTACTGCATACAGGTACTACCTACTGCGTACAAGGTCTACTACTGCTACAGGTACTACTCTGCGTAGCAGGTACTGTTACTGTGCGTACAGTACTACTACTGCGTACAGGCCATTTACTACTGCGTTACAGGTAAAACTACTAACGGTACAGGTAACTACTTACTGCGTAACAGGCATTACTACTGCGTACAGGTACTAACTAACTATGCGTACAAGTACTACACTACTGCGTACAAGTTACTACTGCGTACAGGTACTACTAACTGCGTACAAGGTTACTACTGACTAGCGTACAGGTCTATTACTGCGAGTACAAATACTAACTACTACTACGTACAGGTACTATTACTGCGTACAAGTACTACTACTACTGCGTACAGGTACTACTACTGTGTACAGGTACTACTACTGTGTACAGGTACTACTACTTGCGTATCAGGTACTACTACTTGCGTACAGGTATTACTTACTGCGTACGGTACTATTACTGCGTACAGGACTATACTGCGTACAGGTACTATTACTGCGTACGAAGGTAACTACTACTGCGTACAGGTACTATTACTTGCGTACAGAAGTACTACTACTACTGCGTACAGGTACTACTACTGCGTACAGGTACTACTACTGCGTACAGGTACTACTACTGCGTACGGTACTACTACTACGCGTAACAGTGTACTACTACTACTAACTGCGTACAGGTATACTACTACTACTGCGTCAGGTACTACTACTACTAACTGCGTACAGGCATTACTTACTGCGTACACGGTACTACTATGCGTACAGGTACTACTAACTGCTACTAGCGTACAGGTACATTAACTGCCGTAACAGGTATACCTACTACTGCGTACAGGTACTACTACTACTGCGTACAGGTACTACTACTACTGCGTACAGGTACTACTACTACTACTGCGTACAGGTACTACTACTACTGCGTACAGGTACTACTACTACTACTGCGTACAGGTACTATTACTGCGTACAGGTACTACTACTACTGCGTACAGGTACTACTACTACTGCGTACAGGTACTACTACTACTACTGCGTACAGGTACTTACTACTACTGCTACAGGTTACTACTACTACTCTGCGTACAGGTCTATACTAACTGCGTACAGGTTACTACTACTACTCTGCGTACAGGTACTACTACTACTCTGCGTACACGGCATTACTACTGCGTACAGACTACTCTACTATAGCGTCAGGTACTACTACTACTACTGCGTACAGGTACTACTACTGCGTACAGGTACTATTACTGCGTACAAGTACTACTACTGCGTACAGGTACTATTACTGCGTACAAGTACTACTACTACTGCGTACAGGTACTCAACTACTACTGTGACAGGTACTACTAACTGGTGTACAGGTACTACTATGCGGTACAGGTACTACTACTGCGTAACAGGTACATTACTGCGTACGGTACTATTACCGCGTACAGGTACTAATTATGCGTACAGGTACTATTACTGCGTAAACCAGGTACTAATTACTGCGTACAGTACGTACTACTGCGTACAGGTATATTACTGCGTACAAGTACTACTACTAACTGCGTACAGGTCTACTACTACTCGCGTACAGGTAACTACTACTTGCGAAAGGTACTACTCTACTGCGTACAGGTACTACTACTACCTGGCCGTACAGGTACTACTAATAACTACTGCCGTACAGGTACTACTTACTGCGTACACAGTACTACTACTGCGTACAGGTACTACTAAATGCTAACTGCGTACAGGTACTATACTGCGTACAGGACTACTACTACTGCGTACAGGTACTACTATACTGCGTACAGGTACTACTACACTACTTGCGTACAGGTACTACTCTACTGGCGTACAGGGTACTACTGACTACTGCGTACAGGATACTACTACTCTGCGTACAGGTCTATACTGCTACAGGTACTACTACTACTGCGTACAGGTAACTACTACTACTGTTACAGGTACTACTACTGCGTACAGGACTACTACTACTACTGAGCGTACAGTACTACTACTGCGTACAGTACTATTACTGCGTACAGGTAACTACACTGCGTACAGGTACTACTACTACTGCGTCAGGCTTTACTGCGTACAGTACTATACGCGTAAAAGTACTACTACTACTGCGGTACAGGTACTATACTACTGCGTACAGTACTACTACTAACTGCGTACAGGTACTACTACTGCCAGGTACTACTACTCTACTGCGTACAGGTAACTACTACTACTACTGCGTACAGGTACTACTTACTGGTACAGGTACTACTACATGCGTCAGGGTATACTACTACTGCGTACAGACTTTACTGCGTACA